GACCCCATGCATTTCACAGGGTTTTCTTAGGCAAAGCCTTCTCAGAGGTGGTTTTGCCTGATCCTTCCTCTGAGATACAGCCTACAACACCTGGTCTCCCATCCAAGTACTAATCAGGGCTGGCTTTCCTTAGCTTCCAAGATCAGGCAGGATCTGATCCCCTTAAAGGTATTTATACACTCAGCTGTTTGAGGCAGCCATACTAAAAAGCCAAAGTCAACAAAACATTTTAGTACCTTCAAAAGATCACTAATATGAATAAGTGTCGCAAATTCTAAAATGCCGGGTCGATACCATTCATAACATAGATAAGGGAGTTTTTAAAAAAAAAAAAAAAAAAGGAAACCACAGGCTCTTACTTTCGACTTCTGCCCTCAATACTATTAAACTATGTTTGTGTAAATGGGTTGGAGTCATTGACAACACAAGCAGGGCAGTGCTCGCCAGAAGAGTTTCTCCTGATATCAAACACACACACACACCTTAAGTAAAATCTAAGATATTGCAAGCCCTATTCACCTCTATGCTGGCTTCATCTTTCATTTCTCAGGGGAGATGTGGGTCTTGATGGTTGGAAAATGAAACATCTCCGGTCAAGACCCAGATCTGTCCTGAGAAATGTCAGATTCCAACCTCTCAAGCTAAAGTTCTCAAGCTAAAGTGTGTCTGCTGCCGCTTCCTTTCCGTTTTCCTCCTTTCTTCCCTAAATGTAAATGAATCAAGAAAGTAGAGCTTGCAAACTTGAATGAAAGAGACTCCTATGACTCTCCCCAGAATCTTTCCTTCTCATTAAGATAATGAAAAGGGTCAAAAATGGGATGCAGATAATGAGCCTGAGGGCCCTTCCACATTGCCCTATAACCCAGAGTATCAAGGAAGGAAATCCCACAATACTGCTTTGAACTGGGTTATCTGAGTCCGTACTGCCATATATTCCAGTTCAAAGCAGAAAATGTGGGATTTTATTCAGCTGTGTGGAAAGGGCCTGAGAGGAAAGAAGATGCTCTCTTAAACTAAGGTGCATGAAATAAGTGGATACTGGGCTCTTTCTCCTGGCAAACTGGAAGACCCCTGACACTTGCGTGCTCTCTCTCTCTCTCTTTTTCTCACAGACACACAAACACAGAGACACATGCATACATACACACACACACACACTTACTTGAACCTAAAGACCCCTGTCACTTCTCACTCTCTTCTCTCTCACACATGTATGTGTGTGTGTGTGTGTGTGTGTGTGTGTGTGTATACTGAAGACCAACAGGTCACAGATTCGAATCCAGGAACAATGTGGATGAGCTCCCTCTGTCAGCTCCAGCTCCCCATGTGGGAGCATGAGAGAAGCCTCCCATGAATGGTAAAACATCAAAACATCCAAGCAACCCATGGGCAATATCCTTGCAGACAGCCAGTTCTTTCAGACCAGAAGCGACTTGCAGTTTCTCAAGTTGCTCCAGATATGAAAACAAACAAAAAATCCATACTTCATTGATTCTAAGATCTCAATTATTATAAGTCACATACTATTTTCAGTACCACCAACAGAAAAAGCTATATATAGGCAAACTTCAAGTTACAAATACCCAACTTAGAAATGACTCATAGTTAGGTGAGACAAACAGGAAGTGAAAGAAATCTACCCCTAGGAAGGGAAATTCACTCCTGGAAGGGTTATCATGGGGAAAAGATGTCTTCACTGAAACTTTCCCACTAATCCTTGTGTCCACAACAAGCCTTTTTTTTTCTTCCAAAATCCAATTCTCACAGGGACAGAAAGTCAGGTGAAATTATCTTAACAGGAGCATAGGTAGCAAAATAAACACCGCAGGGGTGTTAACCCTTCCCTATGCTACCCAAAGCTTATCTATCTATCTATACACATAATAAAAGTGAAATGTGTGTATGTGGCAGAGGTGTCCACTTACCACAAACAGCTATTGTTCCCACTGAACAGGAGACACCCATGGGCCCTCCCAAAACTGACTTTGCATGTTATAATGAGCACCACGAACATATAGCTCAAACCCTGCCAGTGTCCTCCACAAACACTGTCCTGCCCCCCACCCAAGTGAAGGCTTTCATGTGGGGACAATTTCATCCTAGATCAGTGTTTCTCAACCTTGAGGTCCGAACCCCTGGGAGGGTTGTGAAGGGCTTTCCCTTCATGGGAAGCTGGAGCTGACAGATGGGAGCTCACTCCACTCACCAGATTCAATGTAATGTCTATATACTGTATATCAAGCATGGGAAAACTTGGGTCTTCCATGGGTTTTTGGACTTCAGCCAGTAGGCTGTTAGGAACTGTGGGAGTTGAAGTCCCACAGTTCAACCCCCTGGAGGGCCCAAGTTTGCCCATACCTGCTGTGTATGATGTTATGGTAGGTACTGTAAATGACAAACAACAACAACAAAAGAGTTATCAAATACTTTGTGACTTTTGGGCTAGCTATACATATGGGCCTAAAGACCCTTCTCTCACAGATAGACAGACAATTACATACACACACGTGCAAATATATATGTGCATATCAATGAGCCTAAGGACTCACACATCAGGACCTAAATACTCTAAGACAGGCACGGGCAAACTTGGGTCCTTCCTCCAGGTGTTTTGGACTCCAACTCCCACAATCCGAATTGTGGGAGTTGAGTCCAAAACACCTGGAGGAAGGGCCCAAGTTTGCCCATGCCTGCCCTAAAGGTAGCAGATTCTTTCTGATCCTGGAAGCCAACCAATTAGGGCCAGTTCTGGGGAATCCTTGAAGGAGAGCCAGCCAAGGATACCTTACAGAGGAAGGAAGTGGCAAAGCTCCTCTAGAGACTTCCTAGGCTAAAGAAAACCCTGTGGGGCTTCCACTGAACTGACAGGCGAGT